GCGGATAGAACCACGACGACAGACCGCGTGAGTTAAGGTGAGTTACCAGTACACCTCGTATGCATATATGAGACCGAGTAAGCAACTTGATGGCGGCGCGCGCCTTTTAGCCAGATTCGCTCGTACCTATGGCGGAGCGTAAGAACGTTTAGTCAGTTATTTGAATGGAATTCGGGGATTCGGAGGGAAGCGGTGTTCCGCACAAAGACCAGCTGGCCAGCAGACGAACGGTAGTGTACCTGTATCTGCACGACGAGTACCCGTAGCCGGGGTTTTTTTGGTCAACGACCAGCTAAGGAACGCGTCGATCAACGAGGAACGCATGTCAGGCGACATCAAGGAGCCCCTTCAAAACCAGGCGGAGCCAGTAACGGAGGGCTTGGGCCAAGCTTACTTAGGCTGACAATTGAATGGATGGGCACTCGAAAGAGTCATGCCGACGAGGACAAGATTTCAAGCAATTCAAGGTATTCAATCCAGACCGAGAAGCTCCTAAACCCACGCCGAGTGTCGAGCGCAAGGTGTCGATAATGGTTATGGAGAACGAGGAAGGTGGCTGTGCATAGGTACCTACACCTTTTACTAGTAAGCAATTGATCACCGAAAAAATCCAAAAGATCCTGCGCTCAGTATTCCGCATCGTAGCAAGCAGGCAGGCAAGCAAGTAGATCAATAGAGTTACATTCATATGTAAAGAAAGGAAAAGAAGACGGCATATTTCGAGGTCACTAAGTAAATAAGAAATCGAAGAGCACCAGGTTCACGACATATAAATCGAGACCGTGCAGTATATGTATGCCCCGGTCAGTCGAGGACAGCCACGCATGAGATGAGGGGGTAGGAAGTGGAGGTACATAACAAGGGTGGGGGGAGGAAAGTGAGAGAGTCTTGAAAGTTGATACGATACCGATACCAAAGAAATAGACAAAGACACAATCCACGGAGCCCATCCGGTCATCCATCCTGCAATCGATCTATCATCGAACCACCCCACCTCTCACCAAACGAAGAAAGGGTAGAAAGAGTAAGCTTGTCCCGCCTCCTACTATATCGCCCTGCATCGTCCATCGTCCATCGACCAGTGATAGTAATGTCATCGTCGGCGACGCCCTCGACCGAGCGCTCCTATCGTAGGCGCGCGTGTATTTCACGTTTATTCGTTGTCTTTGTGTTTGTCTATCCAAGGCCAAATCATCACCAAACAAGCAGGATTTCAGTTTAGAGCACCAGCAACTCACGATAGCTTTAAGCCCATAAGGCCCCTCAACTCAAACACCAGCAGCCGCATCCAACCTCTCCCCACGCGCCAAAACACGAATCACGCGCTGCGGCCCAGCGCCGCTGCTCTCCATCGCCAGCGCCGCCGCGGGGCGTTCCACGAGGGATCCCCCTCCCCCGCTTCCCCCGCCTCCGGAGAGCTTGTACATGCCGTTGTTGTTGCCGTTGTTGTTGCTGCTGCTATTCGCACCACCATACCCACCCGCACCCGCCCCGCGCTTCCCCTGCCCCTGCTGCGGGTTCGTATTCGCGCGCGGACGGCGAGCGCCTTCGCTCGTCCCTGGACGTCGTGTACCCTCGCCCGTCGTCCCAGGACGTCTCGTACCCTCGCCGGTCGTCCCCGTCCCACCTTGAGTGAAAGCGGTCGCACTCGCGGTGTTGCTTTGAGCGCCGCCGGGGTTGCCGTTGACGTGCACAGACGGAGCGACGGGAAGCACGGTGAGCCCCGCGCGCGCGGCCCAGTGCGCGACGAGCGTGCCGGAGGCGCGGACTTCATGTTTGTTCGGGACGTCCGCTGAGTCTGCAGGAGGGGGAGGAGGAGTGCTGGCGAGGACGGCGATGCATACTGTGCGTGGTGGGGGCGGTGTGTCATTGCCATTGAACTTGGAGTTGGAGGGGGAGGACGATGCAAGGGTGGAGTTAAGCTCCCAGCGGGCACAGCACACGGTGCGGCGGACCCATTCGGGGTCGTCTGCTGGGAGGTCCGTAGCGGGGCTTACGGCGGAGGTGGGGCTCGAATTCCCGGCGGTGCTTTGAGTGGGAGAGGCGAAGGCGATAGCGTCCCAAGGCACGAATGCGTCGTCTCTCTGCACCCGGATGCGCAGATTAGTCCCGACCTGGGCTTCGAGGATACGGGACGCAGCACGGGCGCGCTGTGCGAGGGGAGACGTGCCTTTCTTGAGGAGGTCGAGGGTGTTTAGTGCTAGATGGAAAATATCAGTTACGATGTAGCGAAAATATTGGAGAGTTTGCGGTACGGTGGCTGGATTTCCTCGAGACTGCATGACCGTCCCAAACGATATTAGCCACCATTTCGTCTGGTGGCTCACCGCAAACTCTCCAACAGATTGAATGGCAAGACATACCTTCAAGTGGCACAATCACGACCTCTTCGCGACCGTCCCGACACCATCGCTTGACCTGATGCAACGCGTGCACAAGCACACTCGCGTCCACGATCACGACGTCGGCGTCCTTCTCGGCGTTGGGTTCCTCCACAGAGCGCCTTTGCGCGGAATCTTTCGTCGAGATAACAAACGTAGACGTAGACGTATTCCCGCCGCCGTTCTTCTTCCCGCGTAGGGAGGATTTGTTGTTGGAGTACGGTTGACGCTTCGGGGATGATTGTGGGCTAGCGGGAGGGCCTCTGCTTCGCCAGTTTCCGGACGCAGCGGACTTTTCGAGTTGCTCGACTTGATGGTTCAGGAATGCAGCTCCTAGAGCGCGAGACATGGCCTTTGCAGCGGGTGAGTCCGATTCGACGTATCTTGTACAAGAAACGAACCTTCTTGTCCGTCATGGTGTCCGTTATGTAGTGCTGTGGGCCCACTGAGATATCCGGCCTAGATTGGTTGGATGTAGACTGGAGGGTTTCCTGGTTGTCGATAAGACTAGCGGGGCACGAGATATCCAAGAATTGATGTTCAAAATCAAGAATTCGAGTGAGGAGTCGGCAGGCGCACAAATGCAGGTGGTGAGCTGCGCATTTCCTTTTTGGGCTTGATATTTATTGTTGATGTTTGTTGAATTTACCCGGTGCATATGATGCATCATGAGTCGAATGCTCGCACTGCTTCCCGCTCCCCGTTTGCATCCCGAACCGCCTCGTTATGACCTGCACTGCGTCAGGAATGGACTTGGGTGGAAATAGTACGCCGCTATCTACGACGCCGACGCAAACACGGTCACCTATGACCAGCCGCGCCAACTCGTTCTCTCCCCTCTCTCCACCTATCCAACGCCGCCCTTCCCTCAAGCACCCCCTCCCCTTCCACTCAAGTCTTCTCAACAGTTCGCCCTTCAAAGCTCTCTGCCCCCCCACCGCTTCATCAACTCTCCACTACAAACTATAATCCCGACTATTCTGCCGCAACGACGATGTGGGTGAACTGGGCACTATGCTTGAGGAAAGACAAGCGTGCGTCGCCTTCCTCTCGTCTCTTTTTCCTGTCTCACTCGTGTACAGTATCGACCTCGACGCCGATCCTACGCGTACGCTGCCGACCACCCACCTACTCGACCACTTGATCCCCCGCCGCGCCAATCAATCCCTGCGCCGTCCTTCCACGCCACATCGCCGCTTCCATCTCACCCTTAACACCACACTACACACCGACTACCTCGACTACAACGACGCGGAGGGTACACGAGGCAGCGTACTTGAGCAACCTTGGTAGTCGCCGTATTCTTACCACTTCTTTTCTCTAACTTGTCTCCAGCTCAGCGCCGAGTTTGCGCGTACGCCGCCGACCCGACCCACCTTCTCTCAACCTCCACCTTTCCAAGTCGTTGGCGCCAACGAACGTGGCTCCGCCTATGTCAATCACAACGGATACGCCGCACTTGACGACCGGCCAGGGCGTCGCCATTACCTTTCTTTCTTGTTGTTAACTCACTCTTTCACAGTCTCCACTTCACACACACGATGCCGACGCCACCTCACCACTCGCCTCACCTCGCAAGCGCCGCCAATCACGACGCCGCCCTTTCCCTCTGTCTACGCTACGCCTCGTGTCAAGAAATCCCATCCTCACCACCACCGCTCGTCCAAGCCGCCCACCCTTCCCCAGCCCTAACGCCGCCCACACCATCACCCCACTCCTCCCCTCCACCTCCGGCGCGCTCACGCCGCGTCGTCTTCAATCGCCGGCACGGGGACACGAGACGTCAACGGCCGCACGACCCGCCGCCTTCTCTTCCCACCTCGCTACTACCTTCCGCCCTCTTGGCCGCCGCAATTTCGCCTCCGCCACTCTGCTCCGCCGATTCGCCGGCTCGCCGTCTCACAAAGTCGACTTCCTGCAAACTTCACGCCGCCGCCGCGCCAAACGACTCCCGAGACGTCGAATCGGCCCCTTCGGCCGGCCGCGTCGTCAACCCCGCGCTCGCATCCTGCACCCTCGCCGCCGTCGTACCCCGTACCCGACGCAAAACGCCGCGCTCCTCAACCCGCCACCCACACCCTCTTGCCTCTCCGTGCGCCTGCCCCATTCGATCGGGAATAAGCGAATGCGAAGGAGGGCGGGAGGGCGTATACGTACAATGTAAAGTAAACCCACTACTTCAGAGTCAATATATCGATTTTTGCGATCTACTGTGTGAACGGGTTATCGAATTGAAAGATTGACTTGAGATGAATGGAAACTCACCGCAATTTGAGTCCTCTTGAATTCAAGGCGACGTCCAGCGAGTGTTTGGTCGCAATTCTAAATTTGCGTCTTCGACTCAAATTTTGGGAGCCCTAAACCGAAATCAGACACCGGTCAAGTTGAATTACTGTGTCAAGAACTTCGCTACTGATTGTAAGTACTTGCGAACCGCCGCCGAATCAGCCAATTTCCTGAACAAACATGTTAACTTTGTCTGGCTTCGGGTCTCCCAATAAGACCAAGGTAAAGCCATACATATGGCTTCCAGTGCAATTAATTTGGCTGAAATCCCGAGCAGTGCCTGGCATTAAAGCTTGAGTTGTTATGATTTTAGCAAGAGAAACTGTTGGAAGGTCCGGCGTGGTGTAATGGTTCAACATCGCTGTCTTTCATGTTTCGAAGAGCATAACGGCACTGATCACAGCAGCTCGGGGTTCGATTCCCCGCGCCGGAATAACTTTTTGAATGAGAATTCGTCGAAGGATCGGATAAAATCCTTCTCTCAACAGCTTCGGCTTTTTCTGTTTGAATCACATACCATGCATGGTACATACTTACCCGGGAATCTGCCAACTATATAGCAGGGATAAGTGCACCTCAACCAGTGTCGCCGTCCCACTTCAAATGTCGGTTCCAGGCCTCAGATTTTCGGACGATTCTGTTTCCCTTGCATACGACCTTAGACTGCCACTTGGGGGAGAGATTTATGATGCAGTCGATGGATGTATATATACGCATTCCAAAATGAGGGTATAGCTATGTACGATGGATACAGCAATTTGAATATTATCGATAAATACAGTAAACTAAAAGTCCTCAGCCATAGCCAAAAATGGCTCCAAACATCTCCTTCCATCCACGCTTGATAACGACCGTCGCACCCCCACTATATTCAGCCGCAAACCACTCTAGGTACCGCGCGTCCATACCACTCATGGGCCCGAGCTCAAACGCCGACATGTCCTTCGAAGTGAGCGTGAGTGTGTTCTTGTCCTTGGACAAGAACGTTTCCAAAGTCGACAGCTGGAAGGATGTATGGGCATGGAGGGTCTGCAGCAGCGACAGCGTCGTCAGGATCTGGCCATCCCGTCGTGAAGTGTCGTACGCCCCCTGCTCGTCGCCATCCTCGTCATCAGCTGCACTCAGCTTCGCAGCTTTCCCCTTGAACTTAGTGCTGCTCGACGTCGGCGACGTCACAGTCGCCTTCCCGCTCGACCACGACATTGCACTCGCCCGCCTCGTCGACTTCGTCGTCGTCGGTGGCCGCGTGATCCCACTACCGCTACCGCTCGCACCCACCTGCGGCCCGCCCTCGATACCCATCCCCACCGTGCGCACATACCCGTCCGAGCTGTCTGCCGCCGCCGCAAGAGCACGTAGACTCAGATCTTCATCGCCCTCGAGACGGATACTGCCCCAATTTGACTCCCCGTCAGCGGTGGAGTACGACATGATCGAGTTGCCTCGCCAGGAGCCCATCCACAGTCCTGCGCAGATGACGCAGACGTCCTCGTACACACGCCAAGCGTCTGTCCAGGCTGTGATGGGATTGGTCTTGGAGGGTTTGGAATCGGGGGAGAGCGAGCCAGGGGAGCAGCATGAGTGGTCGTGGGTAGAGGAATCCAACTGCAGAATGCGATTGATTTCGTTCCACTGTGGAGCATTAGAAACGGATGAGAAGATAGGTTACACAACGACGTACCAGCTTGATGTCGCTCCACGAGAAACGCACGACAGAAAGACGGTGTGTGGGTCCTCGCGATGGTCCGGGCGACGAAGGCTGGATGGGCCGGGATGCATAAAATGTTGGCCGTGTGGCTTTGTTCGGAGTCGAGGTCGTGAGGTCGATTAGTAGGTCGTAATATGATGGCTTTTCAAGAAAAAGAGCGTCAGTGGTGCCTGATGAAAGGTCAAGCAGGCGCAGGATACAGTCTCGAACAACGTACAGGCTACCCAGCCGCGTCCACTGTCGCTTTCCCTCTGCAGCCGGTCCAAGTCGTTCAGAGTCACCATTCCGAGAACGTTGATCCCCTCCTTGCATTTGCCGCGCAAGCGGGGGGAGGACGAATTTGAAGAAGTGGTGTATTCCACCTGATGCTCGTATGCCATATCCGCCGCCACCTGGCAGAGGATACAGGCAGCTTCCACCGGCGGTAGAGTGTAGATTAAAATTCGTCGTCTAGCGACAACGTGTTTATACAGAGTCAGGGAGGACGGGCCGAGGATGCGTAGTAGATGTGGCAGGTGTACCGTCGGATTCTGGTCGGGTGCACCGTCATCGAGCTGCTGCGGATTAAGTCGACGTAGCAGTGGCAAGTACAGCCACGTACCTGCGCCAAAAGCTCATGACTCCATCCATTCCAGTCCCCCGCCCCTCCAAGATCAGCCCGGGTGACCTTCCGCTCGTTGAAGAAGGTGCGCGCTGGCTCCCAGTCGGTGTCCAAAGGTATCAAGGACGCGGAGCTCTCAAACCGAGAATAGATTAGCGTAGTGAGCTCCTTCAGTGCCGCAGTGTGTCTCCAAGGCCGAGGACGAGCTGATTTGGCCAAGAGGATGCCGAGGGAGGACAAGCGGAAGCCGCGATGACCTTGGTCCACAGTCTTCCGGCGACGAAATACACACACGCCATGCTGACCGTCCTTGGTGAAGTACCTATAGCCATATCAGCGGCTGGGTCAAGCATTTTGCGGTGGAAACAGGCCAAGGAAGCAGCCCAATCTAAACCAATTAAGAAGCAAGTCACAAACGCACACTACATCTTCCTCTACGAGATGGAGTCCACTGGGAAGAGCACTAAACTCTAAATGGTCAAGATTCAAGTCTATATGTCCGGTGTTAAGCTTCGTCAGAGTTCGACTTAATTCTGCACACCTTCGTTGGCCTTTAGCGACCAGTCAATTATGTTTCCTTGAGTAGGGTGAAAAGATGCGTGAAAGATGGCAACTATACGTCTCCAGTCAGAACATTCAGTATTCTAACGGCTTTATGCTGACCTATATCCTGGGGAAATCGTCCCTTGGAATCTAAGGAAGACATACAAAAACGAAGGTCGTGGAGCGGAGGAGAGCCTGAATAACCCGGTCACGATGTGACGTGTCACAATAGTGTCACAATCTCTTCCTGAACTTCACCGTCATGTCAACTTCACGTCGTCGGAATCCTCAATTCTTGCTTAATTCACCTTTCTTTTCTTTCGACCGGTGGCGACCGATGGAGAAGCTACAAACTCGGTAAGGAGAAAGCGGCCGCTGCGGTAACCGCTGCTGAGGGCAGGTAAATTCACATAAGTATTCAAGAATCAACGAGTAGGAAGATTCAGACTGTTTAACTGGTAACCCGTCTACTCCCATTCGGAGTTGGATTTCAGACAAGCGCCTTCGAAAAAATTCCTGGCAACCTGCAATGGCATGATCTCGTCGTCGGACACTTCCATGTCTCCCCCACATCTTCTTCTCGCTCTGTAGCCCCCCTCTCTCGTCCAACGGTGTGATAACCTCCTCACTGGCAAGACTTGCTTCGACTCGGGTTGCAGCCCCTGCTGTCATGTTAAGACAAGTGAGGCAAGTACCATCCAGATATTATTGCTGGAACTGCGTCCATGAAGTTCAGGGCGAGTCACTACCAGATGATCGCCGTTCTCCTCAAAGAAATCGAGCCTTTTGTCCGAGCGTTTCCATGAAAATCCGAAAGACGCCTCGCTATTAATCTGGTCGGCGTCAGTAGTCAGCCGTAGGAAGCCGTTCTCTCCACGGTGATTCGACCAAGGCCAATGTCCGGCATTAACAAAGAACAAGAAACGCCTGATCTACTCGATTGTATCCACGCAGCAACACCGTCTTTTGTTTTCGTGAATTCGACTTCGAAGAATCTTACTCCGAATTTGGTTTGTTTTACACATCGACGTTCTGACAACGAGCATTTTATTGTACTATCCATACGGTATGCGTTGTCTTGTCCTGAGTTTTTTTATCCACAGGTTGTCAAAGTGGCTGTCGCAGCAGGTGCCCTCAAACCGTTGACAACCCCAACAACAATAACAGCGAACAAGACTCTAAGTATCCAACAAGACGGACAGATATTGAATTCGGTTTCAAGAATGGATCAGGTTTGAGTAGGTAATTAACGAGATCGTGTTTAGCCCGCCGTCGTCTTCTTTTTTCTCGAAGTAAGCGACGGCACAGGGGATTTGGGCGGGTCCTCCAGGCGAGCTGACTTCGATGGAGGTTTGGATATGGGTGATTCTAGGGCGGGCCGCTTCCGCTTTCCAAGTTTGGAAGCTGTAACATTCTTGACGATCTGCTCGAACAGTTCGGAGGGTGGTATCTTGGCGGTGAGCTGTTTAAACAAGTCGTTGCTAAGACTTGCGATAGGGGAAGATTCCGGAGGCGATGGTAGGGTATCGACTTGCGCTCGAGCGGGGAAAGAGGCAGCCACACGAAGAACGCAGAAGGGACCTTCAGCTTTAGAAGTGTCGAGTAATTTGGTGACGGTGGTAGCGTGGTGCTCCGAAGGCTCTTCCTGCAAGAGATGTTAGTTGATGAAGCTAGGGTGGCACTTGAGGCATACCTCGTCGCGTAAAAGCTGGTCATCTTCAAGTCGCTGCATACCTTCTTCGAGGGAGGTACCGCCCAAATCCTCGTCTGCGACAACCGAATGGAGGATGACGCGAATGAATCTGCCGTCCGCTAATTTCAAGTTGAAGAGTAAATCCGGATCCGAGGTATGTGTAAGGCAGAATGGTGTTCGTCCCCCTTCCAATCCATCTAGCCATGATTCCACTTCACGAAGAGTAGAAGTACGCGTCAGGAGCGAGCTGGATCCGTCATAAAGCGCCATAGTGGACGCCACCAACTTTCCTGTCTGATTTGCCCATTCAGGGACCTGTTTCTCGTGAAACGAAAATATTTCCGAGAGCACGGAACCGCTTTTCAAGGCGCGGAACAGATAAAACGCGAAGAAAGTGATCAGAGATTGTGAAGTGATGTTGGGTCGGTGGTGCGTGAGGACAGCGAGGCTGTCTTCCAGCCATGGGTCTTCGGTCGAATCGTAATACGAGTCGTAGTCGGAGGGAGGACGGAAGAATGCGTGAGCGATCGCAATGACGAACATCGGCTCGCTGAATGCAATCTGGCTCATATTGCCATCGGTGAAACACCCGATTCCCTCGCTCACCAAGGGCGTCAAGTCGACGGGAAATACCGACGGATCCTGAGCGGTCGTGACATAGTGAAAAAGCACTTTCTGAATCGACGATTTGAGGAGCGGCACTTGATGTGTTTTAGCTATTGACCCGGCTGCAGTTGTGGGCTTACCGTCAATGAAAGTAATGTCCGGCAACCTTCCATTCCGAATGGCATCCATGTTTGGATAGCGAAACGGCTCCTCAGCATCGCTATAATCGGTGGGGCGGTACATGGTTGCGATCTCAACGTAATCATCTAGTAGACGGTGTGG